TAAGAGTAAGCATCCTAGTCAACAGAAGGAGAATTGAACACGTCTTTAAGACCATATTCAGGGTTACAAGTGGAAGCACAACAGAAGTCAAGGTAGTATTTACCAAAACGAGTTCGTCCATTGTCCCTAAAGCCAGCTGCGGCAGAGCTCAACATGTTCAAGTCAACTTCTTGCAAGCGAAAGACTGGAAACTGGCCACAGAAGTCCTGCACTGCTTCTCTGAGGAGAGCTTTGTCGACCTCTTCTGAAACAGCCCAGTACTTTTGGACAATGACCTTTCTTTTTGAAGAAGTTTCAGATACCTATGAGCGAAATTAAATAAAGGATATTTTATGAGTCGAAAAAGAGATTTTTCAATACTTCCTGACCTTTAGCAAAGGAAAAGCGCAGTGCTTACATACCTAGCTTAAAACTGGGATTATAAGCTTACCACTGCCTTAAAATAAGACCTCACGAAGCCCCCCTTCCCCCAATTTCTTTCGTTATATTTATATCTAACATTAGAATGAGATGTTAAACTTGTTCTAATTATGATTCCCTATCTTAAAACTTGTTGCGGTATTTAATGTTTCCAGAGCATGCTCACTGATATGATGTTTGCGCTCATGTATCACTTGTGAATCATTTGTGGTGTTCATTTATTGTCTCTGGAACTCGCTTTGTCCTTGATGTCCTTAGATTCAGAGAGTTTCACCACGCACTATTCCTCACGCTTTGAAGTAATACTGATACTTTTAAAACGAAAAATTCCTTCCCACGAAAAATTCCTTCCAACAATAAACAGTCCTCCAAAAAACTGTTTCGAATAAAGATATATCCAAAATTTAAGAGCTTGAAGTAAGAAAAAAATGTGGAGGACTACATGGTAAAACTATATTACTCTTTTTAGCACTTTTTTTATTATTACTTTTCAATTTTTTTTTATAAACGTCCAGTAAGCTGCACAAAGTTAAAACAGCTTGAGTTGATTCATTGATCCTACGCGTTTCTCATGATACTACAAGTTTCTTCAGGGATATGTTTCAAGGGATATGTATTTTATCTTTACACCTATGCGGTCTTTACGAAATTCCCGGATTATCTCACCCATCCAATTTTTGCGTTAGGTAATTGTGTATATCTCGCCTGATGGTTCAATGGTATATTAAAACCCTGGAAGCCAACTTTGTAAAGATCTTTAGTTGA